AAAATCACTTAATGCACTTGAGGTAGTCTCACATTAACAGCTACTGTAAACAAACTAATTGACAGATGGCGCTCAAATTTGTATTATATGTCAAGAAAGGGTGTACCAACATAAAAAAATTTTTGAAAAAGGTCTATTACTTAAGGAGCAGTTAACAAACATCAAAATCCGGATACTTTTTGAGCAGAAGGTTAGTTGAATACAAGATGCCAAGATACCTTCAATTTCTCAAGAACGGTGCAATCAAATAGCTTAAGCCAAATATTAATTTTTAGTGCATTGAATAGTTTTAAATTGGGTGTACAATTTATCATTATGCTTTAATGTATTTCGAAATTTGTGATTCAAATTTGTGGTTTCGATATTTGGTAATTGCTGGAAAATTGTTGAAAACATTTTGCAGAAATCTTAGTTTATTTTGAAATTGCAATTTGCGATTTACACCAAGAAAATATCATCCAAATCTTTGATAGGGGTAACACATCAAACTTAGATCGAACTGTAGAAGACATTCTACACCACAGATTTCATGCAATTCTGCCAGGAACACTGTAGAAGAAATGGAATGACTGTGTTAAATCTAGGTCCATCGTAGCTAACACCATTTTGTCAATTTTCAAGTCTTGATCCATCAATGAAACAATCACACATGTTAGGAGGCTGTATATAGTTTCTAATCGTCTCTTCAATTCTTCTAGGAAAGATCGATTTGAAGTTACCGGAAGTTGTCTTCACGTAGAATATCTGAAAAATTAAAGACAGGGTTATTACTGACAACTCTAAGGTTTCGAAGGTATTTTTTAAGTTTCTCATCCATGTGTGGGAGAAGATGTTTGAAACATGAACATCTCCTTCTGAGTCATAACAGACTTATGACTATTTTTGTTGTGGACTTGCATGAGCTTTTTGGATTGAAAGCGTCTGAAGACTGCACAAAAAGCTTATAATTAATGTTTCAAAGTACTAATTTAGTCTGTCAAGTAGGTTTGGGAATAATAAAGTAATAATTAAATAAAAGCATCTGTGAATACATATTCAAAATAAATACTACAATTGATTTAATTTTGCTGCTAAAATGAAGTTTATTTGTATTTATTTATACAGAACATAGTTAAAGTATTGCTAAATACAAACTCGCTTTAATTACTCTTACTTTCACTTAGTCCAAATGTTTGTGACAATGAACTTTATTGAAAGTTTCACTCGTTTTTACATAGAAATCAATGACCTCTTCCATAGTTGTATCAGCCAAAACTGAGTTCAACACTGGGATTACATTTTGGTTATAGAAGTCGTTGACAAAAGGTTGTACTTGTTCAGCCCACATAAGTAGGAATTCACGTTGCCAATCATTAGCAAAGTTGTTGATAGCAATATTCCATAAATTGTTCCAGTTCTTAACTGCAATATCGCCAACAAAGAATTTAAGATCGAAATTAGTTATTTGCAAGCCCTTCTCCTTGTCTGGAATAGGTCCAAAGTTCAGACTGCCAACTGCACGTAAATCAACAATTTTGAAATTAACAATGCCCTCTCCATCAATATTTATTGGGTAATCGGCAATATTTATCATTAAGTGTGAAGCAAATTCACTAAGTAGTTGCAAGGCTGGCACATTGATATCATATGTCAATAATGTTGACTCATCGTCATAGCTGTAATCGAGTAATTCCCAGATGTTAAGACCGCTCAAAACCAAGTTTGAGAAGCTTCCGTTGGCTCTGTGTATGTATAAAAATAAATAAAAAGTAAATATATGTATAGTTATATTAATAATATTGTTGTTTTAAGTGCTTACTGGAAATTATTCTTTTCGAAGTTATAACTGTAGAGTTTGTTCTTATAAGGGGCCAATGGTGGAATTTCTAATTCAGCATAACCGCAAGGCATCATTTTCTGTAATGAGTGAAGATACATTTTTGAGGCTTTTTCGAAGTCGATATTGTTGGGTCTGCTGGTAACTGGTGCTGGGCCATCATCTTGGCCGGATTCATCGGATGCTGAAGATGGCACTGGATCACTTTCAACAGATCCAACAGCTTAAAATTTCAAAGTAAGTCAAATTATATTTATATTTAACTAAAATTAATTTATAATTATTGGTTATTACCTGGTACTGGATCAGTTTCAGGAGATTCAACAGCTTTGAATTTAGAAATAAGTTAAATTATATTAGTATGTACTAAAATTATTTTTTTTATGATTTATTATTACCTGCACCGTAGACGTATGCTGATGCGCACAAAAGTGTAGTTAAGAGAATTACTGCCTTCATTTTGTCGTTGCTAACTTTTCACTGGAGTATGAAAATTTAACTGATTCTTAGAACTAATATTTCCAATATTTATATGAATTTTATTTAATATTTATTTTATCATATTTCATTGAGGCAGTAGGTAGACCGCACGTTTCACTAGCTTATCATTTTGAAGAGACTTCTTCTGAGGTTCAAGTTTATTGACTTTAATAATTGTGAATTACTCAGTTGAGATACTTTTAATTAGTTTTTGCATGATATTGCATTTTTATTATTTAAGTGCATTTTTTTTTATATTAATATTCTCAAAATAACTCAAATGCAAGTAAAAGTAATAATTAAAAGATATACTTTTCCTTCATATATTTTTTATTTCCGCTAAAGATTATAACAATATATCGTAAAATAATAAAATAGTTAACTCTCATTCGATTGGAATATATCATATTGTTATTATTAGAAGGAAAAAAAATGCTACACTGCCGCCTACAAATCTATTGTGGTATGCTTAGAAAGATTCTCTTAAGCTTATCCAGATTTTTTAAAGCAATTAATAAACTTAACAATAGGGATATTGTAACAAATCTCATGTATCAAACTTTGTAAACAATGAACATATGAACAGGAACTTGATTACCGTGCTCAATACTTGTTATCATGAATATCCCTAATATCACTTAATACAAGGTCAGAGACTTCTTTCGCTTTCATAAACGCCAAATGGAAGTAGAGAACTAACATGCTGTGATGGTAAAGATATAGTCATTCACTCTACATTATACGCAATCAAATTATCGGTGTTCTTAAGTCCACATTCGAAAAGCTTGAAGCATATATGAACCGTATATCCACTCTGGATTTATCTTTCCTCAAATGACAGCTTGATAACTCCAGTGTAGGGCGTTGTCTATGACTACTATATAAGCAGACAGTTCAAATGAAGAACAGGAACCATTTCCTCAACTCCTATATCATTGTATAGTTTTTAGTAGAAGTCCTAAATATATTCTGGAATCTCCCATCTCTGAATGGCTGTCCTATATCATTGGCATAGGTATTAAAAATCAATTCCTGTTTTGTTTAAGTAATATCTCGATTTAAAATAATGGTGTTTCTCGTTTCGTTGCTTAGAGCAATTAGCTTACTTTTACAAGAAGAATGGGTCTGTTTTAAGGGTCAAAATGCGACGGTCCTCATTTTGCGGGAAGGGCTGTTATTTTCATCTGTCCTTCTATCTATCTTAAATGTATTTGTATTAAATTTATTACAATTTATAATTTGTGTAAATAAGCTTAACACTTTATTATCTTATTATATTGATATATCTAAATTTAAAACAAAAGAATTTATACTTGTAAGTAATTAAACTAATGTATTGAAAAATATTCGAACCAAATATCAAACGTACCAAACGCATGCTTTTTGGATTAAGTTTAAGCAGAAGCATCTCAGGGCATATACTACAAATGTATCTGTGATCAATGTTATGCAAATTTTGAATTTCTGCATTGTTGCTAATAACTTTTATGTAGGAATTTTAAGTTCCGTAAGGACAAAATATACAAAAAAAACAGAAAAAATTAAAAAAAAAATAAAATAATACCTTGCACTTAACTGTAAATGCAGTAAAAGCTTAAAGTACTGCAGGCACTTTTCTATTGTATTTACTGCTCATGCAATATGGTATAGAGTAAGCCTGGTATTACTTGATTTTTTTGAGGAAACTGGTATGAGGCAGTAACAATCGGGTTTTCGTATTCGACAGCAGTACGAAAGAAATTCATAAAGTAGAAACGAAACATAAATATGGATGGACTACGATAGAGTAGACTTTTTGCAGTGGACATAAATAGTACCGTTCGAATCTATCCAATGCTGAACGCATCAGTACTTCACATTTTCAACGAAAATCGACATAACGAAGGAGTCGATTCTACTTGGAGTAGAAAACAATTGTTACAAAAAAGGAGAAGGGACCTAAGTGAGTATGAGTACTAGAACGATTATATGCGCACTAGTAGCTTCTATTGTTCAAAGCAGTTACAGCGTACATGTATGTGGAGGTTTGTTAATTCCCTCTAGGAATTTTTCACGTTTGACAAAATACAATTGGGAATTTTAAATATCGTAAGCAATAAAAAAAAGAAACAAAAACAAATAAAATTGAACGAAAAATGTTTGAAAGGATGTAACATGTCATGAACTTTGATTCTGTTATGGATTTCGATAGAGCTTAAGCTTCTAATTGTAAATTAACGAACTCCTTTGTTGTCATCAATTTAGCAATGCAACAATGTATGGTTATTCCTGCAGGCGAACAGATGTTTCAGGTTAAAGCAACTGCGTTTTTATATAACTCCAAATGGGAATACTCGATTTGAGTTCCGTCCATGTCTTTTTTTTTTGTGTGCAGCAAATGTAGTGAATTTTAGAATAGCGCTGATGTGAGCTTCTCAAAGGATTTGAACATGACAGGTATGAGTGCTTTGAAGCACTTTGAAGAATATGCAATAGTTCAAAGTAAGATTACGTAGGCATTATGGGCATATCTTCGGAAGAAGTTTTGTTTTATTGAAGATTTTCCTTTTAAGTTTCAATGACAGTTCAACTTACACAGAGATTAACAAGAGATTAAAGATGACCACAAATGAGATTAGGTTTCTTTGCTGTAAATTATACTTAACAATATTAACATGATGATACTAAAGATTATAAGAAGTTGAATATCTAATGTTTTAATCATAATGCAGTCACATCATCGCTTATACGCTATGAATAAAGGTAGGAGGAGGTGTACTAAAAATTTAATTTTAATTGTGTGGCTATTTAGGCATTTTGTAAATACACTGTGGAAAATAATGCCTAAGTCAGTTAATTATGTTCTGTATTGATAACTTTATTATAAGCCATTTGTTTTTATTTAATAACAACGAAATTTGTGTAAAATATACAAGAAAAATTAAAATGTTTATTATAAAGCTGTAATTAATATTTGGAATTTATAAATGGTCTTTGCAGACAGCGAATGGTATAAGCGATAAATGAAATTAAGATATTTGAAAGCTGTTCTCATTGGTATAAATTAAGTTTTTATACACATTTCTAATGTTATAAAATATTTTATTGGTATTAATAATTTTGTCACATAGTTTTACAACTTTAATATCTCATCTTAATTTCTGTATAAATTTATATTTCGTTAACTTATACTTATACAGCTATAAGTGGGACGTTGTAGTTTTTTATGTAGAAAATAGTGAAAACACCAAATACTATGTCAGTCCAGGAACTCAACACAGAATCACTCTTGTCAAAAGATGCTACTTGGAGATAAGTATATAGTCGAAAAGTCAAATCCCCTTTCGACAAATGAAAATAATGCTTTACAAGTATCGTATTATGCCTATTCTGCTGTAAGGTGTAGAAGCTTGGACGATAGCCTCCAACAAAGTTAGGAAAGCAATTATAAATGTTTGAGAAGAATTTTTT